TAGGAGATTGTTCGTCTGCATGGTATTCCAGTTTCCATCATTACAGATAGAGGTACTCAGTTCACATCACGATTCTGGAAGGTTGTACAACATGAGTTGGGTACTCGGATAGAGTTGAGTACAACATTTCACTCTCAGACAGACGGACAGTCCGAGTGCACTATTCATATTCTTGAGGATATGCTCTGTCCAGGTGTGATTGAGTTTGGAGGGTCTTGGGATTAGTTCTTGCCATTGGCGGAGTTTTCCTACAACAACAACTATCAATCTAGCATTCAGATGGCACCGTATGAGGCTTTATATGGTAGGTGGTGTAGATCCCCGATGGGTTGGTTTGAGCGGGGTGAGGCTAGATTATTGGGCACAAACTTGGTTTAGGATGCTTTGGAGAAGGTTAAGGTGATTCAAGATAGACTCCGTACAGCCCAGTCCAGAGAGAAGAGGTACGCGGATCGGGAGGTTCGTGATGTTTCCTATATGGTTGGAGAGCGGGTTCTGCTTCGGGTTTCGCCTATGAAGGGCGTTATGAGATTTGGGAAAAAAGGGAAATTGAGTCCGAGGTTTATTGGTCCATTTGAGATATTGCGGCATGTTGGGGAGGTTGCTTTTGAGCTTGCCTTACCTCCCAGTTTGGTAGGAGTTCATCCGATATTTCATGTTTTGATGCTCTGGAGGTATCACGGTGATCCATCACACGTGTTGGATTTCAGTTCCGTCCAATTGGACAAGGATCTATCTTATGTTGAGGAGCCAGTGGCAATATCAGACAGGCAGGTTTGAAAGCTGAGGTCAAAGAACATTGCATCCATAAAAGTTCAATGGCGGGGTCAGCCGATCAAGGAGGCGATCGGGGAGACCGAGAAAGATATGTGCAGCCATTACCCCCATCTTTTCACTACTTCAGGTATGTCTTCATGCTCGTTCAAGGACAAACAAATGTTTAAGTGTAGGAGGATGTAACGACCCGGCCGGTCATTTTAAGAATTTATGCCCTGATCCCCTATTAACTGCTTTCCCCATGTTTGTTTCTGCTATTGTGAGTTGACGGGAGGATTTATTTGGAGTTTCGGAGAGTTTTTGGACTCTTAGTCCCTAAATGAGAGTTTAAGTTTTAGAATTTGGACCGTAGTCGGAGCAGTGAGAAGACGGCCTCGGAATGGAATTTTCGTTGGTCTGTTAGCTCCATTGGATGATTTCGGGCTTAGGGGCATGTTCAGATTGTGTTTTGGAGGTCTGTAGCTAATTTAGGCTTGAAATGCCGAAAGTTGAATTTTTGAAGTTTCTGGTTCGATAGTGAGATTTTGATCTAAGGGTCAGAATGGAATTCCAGAAGTTGGAGTAGCTCTGTAGTGTTGAATGTGATGTGTGTGCAAAATTTTAGGTCATTCGAACGAGGTTTGATAGACTTTTTTTATCGAAAGCATAATTTGAGAGTTTTTGAAGTTCTAGGCTTGAATCCGATGTTAATTGGTTGATTCGATGTAGTTTGAGGTGTTTTGAAGATTTGTATAAGTTTGGATAGTGGTATATGACTTGTTCATTCCTTTGGTTGAGGTCCCGGGGGCCTCGGGATGATTTCGGATGGTTAACGGGAAGTTTGGAGTTAGGAATTTGCAGCTGAAGCTACTGAATTGCTGTCATAACTGCACCTACGTGTGTGGGACCGCAGGGGTGGTACCGCAGAAGTGGCTAGGTAACCAGAGAAGCGAAAACTGGTCTAGGCTCCAGAAGCCGCAGGTGCTAGAAGGGGGATGCACATGCGAGGCCACAGGTGCGGAAAGGTAGTCGCAGAAGTGGAAAATTGGGTTTAATGAAAAGTCACAGGTGAGACTTGGTCTTCGCAGAAGTGGGACCGCAGGTGCGGTCCCAGAGCCGCAGATGCGGTTTCACTGGTCAGAATAGGGGCAGAATCGAGGGTTTAGTTTCAAAACCTTAGAAATTGATTTGGGAGCTCGGGATTGGCGAGTTTGATAAAGATTTTCACCTGAGTGTTTTGGGTAAGTAATTCTTACTCGGTATTGATTAGTTCCCATGAATTTATGCTTAAATTCATCCTTTAAATTCGATTTTGGGGTGGAAAAATTAAAAAAGTTCTTAGGCCTAATTTTGTGGCTTTGATCTAGAATTTGATGTCGGATTTGGATAATTTTGGTATAAATGTACTCGTGGGAGTATGGGGATTCTGAATTTGTAAATTTTATCGATTTTGAGATGTGGGCCTGAGGGGCATTTTGGTTATTTTTTCTAATTTCGCGTATTAGCTTAGAATTAATTAGTGGAATTAGTTACTTGAAGTTATATTTATATTATGAAATTTTATTGAATAGATTTGGGCCATTTGGAGTCGAGTACTCGTGGGAAGAACGTGGTTTCAGGTTGATTTTGAGCCAATTCGAGGTAAGTGGCTTGCCTAACCTTGTGTGGGAGAACTCCCCTTAGGATTTGGTATTGTTGATATTCGAAATGCCTTGTACATGAGGTGACGAGTGCGTACTTGTGCTAATTGTTGAAAATCCTGTTTTCATTAATTAACTAGAATTGTGCTTCTTTTTCTTGTCTATACTATTTGCAAATTTAAGCTTACTGTTAGCTTAGGGAAGCATGCATTATTTGCTCAAACTGCCTTATTTGGATTCTGTGCAGCATGCTAGGTTAGAAGTACCTATTTTACCTTGATATGGAATTTGAATTGAATTGAGTGTTTTTCGTGTTGCTGCTGTGTGTTTACTTTGGGACTACGGGATGGTATCCCGAGAGATCCCCCCTTGCATGTTTACTTTGGGATTACAGATTTGTATTACGGGAGATCCCCCTGCACTTTTATATTGGAACTACGGGATTGCACCCGGTAGAGTCCCCCAGCACTGGATATTTACATTTGGGACTACGGATCGGTATTCCGGGAGATCCCCACACATTATGAGTTGGACTAAGAAACGGTATCCCTGGAGATTACGCTGGATGTTATTATTCGGGACTACAGGACGGTATCCTGGGAGATCCCCGGTTGTTATCTCTATGTTGAGCTGTATTCCTTTCTGTGTTTACTTTGTCTCTGTTGTAGTTGTTGCCATTCTTTCTATCCTGTGTTACTTTTACTGTTGCACTTAATTATATTGTCTTATTCTACACTGTTATACCTTGTATTTCATTTAACCTCAATAGGGCCCTGACTTTCCTCGTCACTACTCGACTGAGGTTAGGCTTGGCACTTACTGAGTACCGTTGTGGTGTACTCATGACCTTTCTGCGCATGTTTGTCATGTGCATATCCAGGTACTTCGACTCAGCCCTACTGCCCTTGAGGCGAGGCAATTTTCCAGAGACTTTTAGGTATATCGGCCGCGTCCGCAGACCGAGGAGTCCCTTTCTATTCTCTCTTAAAGTATAAGCCCTTTTGTATTTTCTTTTATTTAGACACTCTGGAGTTAGATACTTATAGACATACAAAAGCTTGTGATTTTATGAGATTCCGGATTTTGGGAAATGTAGTTCCAGTTTGAGAGTTGTATTGTATATGCCGAGCGCATCTTAAATGCTTCATTTTGATATTTTTCTATAGTTTTGGATAGTTTGTTCCTGTTGATTTATTTTTCGTAATTTGTTAGGCTTACCTAGTCGTAGAGACTAAGTGCCGTCACGACAGTTCACGGAGGGCGAACTTGGGTCGTGATATAGTCAAAGTCGGAGAACCAAGTTTGAGATACTCCAATAAGAGCGAATCAAGCAACGACGAGAACAGGAAGAAAGACCTTGACGAAGCAGACGAGTGAAGAGACATGGCATACATAAGAATGATAGCTCAAAAATAGCAAGCAGAATGGTAATACAACAAAAAGGCCAAAGTAAGACCATTAAAGGTCGGGGACTATATACTCAAGGCCAAAACGCATGCGAGCTAAGACACAAGAGAAGGTAAAATAGGAACCAATTGGGATGAGCCATACAAAATCACGACAGCAGCAAATAAATGATCATTCCAACTAGAAACAATGGAGGGAAAGCTACTACCAAACAACTGGAATGTTGCCCACCTCAAATGCTTCAACTTCTGAAAATGGACGTCCTCTAAGTCGTACTCTTTTTCCCTCACCCATGTTTTGTCCCAATAAGTTTTTATCGGGGAGGTTTTTAATGAGGCGACGAAGAGGGCGTCTCGAATATGAAGTGTCGAATTCATCGCCCCGCCTATATACAACTTCTCCAGGCCGAGCAATGAAGTGAATAGATAGACTGGAACTTCTCAAATGTATGTATGGAACAAACAGAAACATGTAATATTCTCCAATGAATGAATAAACAAAGCAGTATACAACATTCTTGCACAACTCCACCAAAGTTGTGCATCAAAGAAGAGAACATACATTTGACATTGCTCGATACATTCGACCTCTCTCGAATTATTTTTCATTCGATCTTGCTCGAAATATATTACATTCAACCTCACTCGAATTACTTTAAATTCGACCTCGCTCGAATCAATCAAGCCTCAACCTCATTCGAGCTAACTTATATTTGACCTCAAATTGGTCAACATTCGACTCCGCCCAAATCAACCTTACATGTAGATGGCCAAAAAGTGAAGGAATTCCTCACAAAATAAAATGGCAACAAAAGAGGAAAAAGGGAAAAAGAAAATCTGAAAATACACAGTAAAAAGACAATTGTTCCATTTCAAATATTCGAGGTCCAATACATTTTACAAAGGGCCTAAGAGATGCCCCCACAAAAAATAGCAAAACAAAAAAAAACTAAGTACAAAGACTTCATGCCGCATCATCCCCATCAGCATCATCGGCATACTCATCATCATACCAAGGGTCGGAGGCAAGCCCATCCAAGGTGTCTTCATCATCATTCCCACCGGGCGTACCAGGGTCATAACCACAGGCTTCACGAGCTGCACGTTCCTTGACACGAACGTCTTCAAGCTCCACCTCAGAAACCTTCCCGGCCATCTTCAAAGACATATACATGCCAAGCTGGTCCTTAGCGTGAACCTACATCTTGTACAACTCCCGTGACACACTAGGATCAGCAGAAGTATGAGAAGTAGACGGTTGGACCTGTTGTTTCTCCTTCTCGGCCTTTAAGGTGATGACCTGCTCATTCAGCCCATATAGCTTTGCCTCCAAACCCTTGATCGGCTCCTCCAACCTTTCCAACTTGAGAGCCGAAGTCTCCGTCTCACTAGCCTGCTCAGACCTACAAACACGTAGGATACCCTCTAATGTTGTTGCCTCCACCACGGTGGACATCCTGGTTCTCTCAGCCAAGTTCAACTCTTCGACCCTAGTGCTTAACTCCGCCCCCAAGGTGACGACCCTGGCCTCACTTTGTTCAAGATCAACTATTAAGGACGCTACCTGCGCCCGGAGGTCTGTATTCTCGGCTATCACCCTTTTGCTCACTTCGAGCTCATCCTCCTTAGACCTTAGCGTCTCTTCCAACATGCTGCATTGGCCGATGGCCCTCATAATCTCCTCATATTTCTCCTTCAACTCCTCATCCTTTTTCTTGATCTTATCATGTAATGCTTGGAATTGGCCATCCTCACCAACAATTTTGACCATCATCCGATGATTGGAGCGATACTCTCTATACTTAGATTCCATCCTCTTGTATAGAGTCGTCCTCTCCTCCTCTCACTGGTCATTCTCAATCTCCAAGATGAGAGTCTGACACGCAAAGAAAAGCAAGTCACCAAGAGTAAACAACACATATGAAATGGATAAACATAAGTGGAAAGAAGCAAAAACTTACTCGCAAAGCCATGCCCGATATTCCCAAAGACAGGTCTGCATCTCTTAGCATTTGCAACGTCCTATTTTCAACCTCCGCACACAAAGGATCAAAGGACAGTGCCGCCCGTTTCGAGTTGACCAAAATGTTATAGCTCATGGGAATGACTATGTTCCGATTAGGACCCTCCGTCCTTATCTCCATGCGAGTATCCCTCTTCTCGAAGGCACGTACCTCCTCAGGGTCAATGTCTGAGCCAGAGTCATCATCCTCCACAGGAACGACTCTTTCTCTCCCGATCGCTGATAATCAGCCAACTTCAACAACCCATATAGGCTCTCCTATACCACGGACCCCATCAACCTCAGATGGTCTCTTCTCCATAACGGCACCCGCCGCAGGAACAACCTCGACATCTAGTGAAGGCACCGATTCTGCTTCCAAAGCAATGAACCTTTCTGGATCAACGTCAGTAACAATAGCCTTCCCAGTCTCCACCCTTCATCTCTTCCTCAGTGATGCCTCATCCTCGTCATGAGATGACTCGTTGACTAGGTGAAAGATAGGCTAAGAAGAGATCTCATCCGGCACAATAACAGTTCGAGGAGTAGAGTCCCTCACCGCGGAGCTTGAGTTGACCTCGTGCAGAATCAACAAGAGTGAATTACATCCCGTCCGAGGCAACCGCCTGGAAAAATACAAGTACCAGAGCCTTCGCCTTCTTGGAAGTTTGCCAACCTAGCACCAAATGAAAATCACATCAAAGGACAATAGTGAATGGTACTAAGTCAAAAGGTAAAAATAACACTTACCAGACGAGGGCTTGGGTCCAAAGTGCCTGTGGAAGGATGCCCAGTCGGGGACTCCCATAATATTAGGTAACACGCGAGCTACCCAATCTTCAATATCAAAGATGAGAGAAGGTGGACGCTTCTCAGTTGAAAACAGAAAAGTCGTAAGTGGGTCGAGAATAAAGAAAAAAAAGAGAATTGAAAAGAGAAGAAATAATGAGCAGCATACGGCAAGCGACCATAGGCCCTTACAGTTATAGTTCCATTGCTCAGGGAACTCGGTCGGATTCGCCACTAGGTGCTCAGTCCTGATGAAGAAGTATTTATGCCAGAACCGCCAATTCACCTTATCATGCATCCCGGCCACCAATCTTTTGGTCCCCCCAATACAGTAGATGTATCAATGTGCCTCTATAAAAATTGGGTGAGAAGAGATGCAGCAGATGGAGGATAGTGACCTTGTAGCCGTCCAACTCTACGTACTTCGCCAGCATGAGAAAAACCTTATATAAATAGGGGAGCGCTGTGCCGGGTAGACATTGTAAACATGAAAGAACTCCTCCGCTAATTGTGGGAGAGGAAAGAAATAACCGACCAGGAATGGATAGACGTAGAAAGTGCAATATCCGTGCCGGTGAACCTGCACTATCGCGCCTCCCGCCAGAAAAATTTAGACGTGAGAAGGAATACCAAATTTGGACCGGAGGGCGGCTATTTGATTCGCTCTCATTTTAGAGAGCACCTGAGTGGGAGCGGGGGCAGGTTCCTTTAGAAAGTTGTTTCTGACCGAAAGGTTCTTAGGAATTACCTCCTCCACAAGCTTTTATCCTCCTTTACAATGGGTTCCTCACCGCCGGGAGGAATGGCTACCAATAAAGGGGTGGCACTGGAGACTCCGTCATAAGTATGAGGAGAATTTGACATCCTTTTGTTATAAAGTGTACAATGAAGCCAGAGAAAGAAAGTATCGACCAAAAAATAATCGGGAACTGAAACTGAAGGAGCTATAGGAAATCGGAAATTGATATCGGAGAGGATGCCTAAAGAAGAACGAAATGCATACAGAGTAGGAGGTGCTAAAAGTTTCGGTAATGGAGCCCCTCTCCTCTATTTATAGGGTTGGGTAGCACCTGAATCGAGGCAAAGAGCCATCAATGGCACCAAAATCGAAGAGACAAAAGCATAGGAAATGACACACTTCATTGGGAAGATGCATAATGATGACGCACGTGGCCATGACGTTACCCTATGTCAGTCACGCCAACCACAAATCTGCTGACGACCGTTGCCAGTTCAACTTCGGCCAATTCGATTCAGTCATCACAACTAAATTTCCTCTGACCGATTGCAGATAGAATCTGCTCTTCAAGGATGTCCAAGAGCACGACACCAAAAAATAGAGGGATTAACGGTATTGGTCAAAATTTGGACTGAACTTAATGACTGCAAATGGACGCGACATGGTCGAGGTCGAAGCCAATCACGGCTCAATGGAGAGGAGTCACCTAAAGAATGGCTAGTGCCGAGGTTGAATAAAGAACGTATGGAAGCAACGGTTAGAATATGTTTTAGAAAAGAGAGAAGGAGTATTCCATTGGATATTCCTTCAATTGTACTTTTTAGGGTTTCTTAGGAATATCCCCTATAAATAGGAAGAGATAAAGAACAAAAAGGGATCTTCACTTTTCTAATAAGAACATATTGTAAAGGGTTGACTACAAAGAATATACAAATCTTGTCTTGTCCACTGATTCCATTACTCAATATACATCTTTATTCACAAGATCCAAGTATTTCTTGTCCACCTTCATTTTATATTATCCCACGTTGTTGTCAGGAAGGAGAATCGTCCAAGTCATCTAAACATTTGGGTGATAAATTCTTTCTTATTACATTTATTGCCATTATCTACATTTATTGTATCCATTCATTTCCACATTCATTGACTATCATTGAGCATTCGTAGTTGGCATTCAATATTATCGGACACGAATCTACATCATTAATATCTTTTAACTTCAGATCTAGTAGTTATTATATTTAACTAGGATTCACCCTCTATTTTCTTATTAATCCGTTTACAAAAAAGTTTAATACTTTTTTGGTAAAACAAAATCTGCATGCAAAATCCTACAAACAACCTATGAATACTCCTGGATCTCCATTTTTGACTTTAGAATTAGCAGATAAATTTGGCAAGTGCAGCTCAAGGCATTCACATTCAAACAAACTGGAATTCAATTTATTGCAGCGTAATCACAGGTAGAACAAGTAGCATTCATCACCAAGTATCAAATCATTATTAATTATACATGCTGAATCATAAGGTATAAGTCAGAAGAAGTTGTAGGTTAGATAATACTAAAATCAAGGGTCATTTCTAATTCATAACGCAGAAATCAAGTTCAATAGGAGTCGTTCATCACATTTAAAATAATTTTAACTAATTGATCATATAAATCAAATAGGAATACAAAATTCTGCTTGTGTACCTAATTTCCAGACGAGAGACGATTCAACAGGACAAATAAAGGAAAAATAAGAAGAGATGAAGCTCAGCTATGCAAAACAACAAATTCAGCAACTAAATAGCAACTCCACAGCTCAATTATCACGTAAAATTCCAGAAATATGAAGTAGAAGAGTAGAAGTTCCAACCAGCTTTGAAAATCTCTTTTGTCTTTGTTTTTTTTTTTTTAGTTGTTTTCAAGCCTCTTTGTTTCCAGATCTAAGATTCAATCTTTTTGAATCCAAGAATTTGTTTCAGCTATTTTTGAAGGTGAAATATACGTGTTAGTGAAGAAAGAGTGAGTGAGAGTGAATAGAGATGAGTCTGAGACAGTTTTGGGGGTAGGGGTGTTTCAGATAGTTATATTGGATGGAGGTGGTTAGTTCCCGTTTGTTGGACCAAAGAGGATGAATAGTGGATATTAGACCTAGTCTAAATGGTGTGGTTTGGTAGGGGGCTGGTTTGGATGGGTGTGAGGGTGGTGGCACTTAAACTAGGCCCAAAAGGGTTGGCCAAGTACGATTTCAGGTATGTTCCTTTCTTTTTCAACTTTAACCACCTAAATTAACACTCTAATTTGAAACTAAATTTTGCATTTAATCTAATTATCCATTTTATCAAATAATTGACCAACTGATTAACTAATCCTCCAATTTTTTAAAAAAAGAAACTAACTAATTAAACCTAAACTGCAAAATGCAAAGTAACTAATATATTTTTTTTTTGATTTTGTATTTTAGTAGTGCAATTAACATGTATTTAAGATATAAAAATACAAAGAGAAACAGATAAGATATTTTTATGATTTGAAATGCTATTAAATATGCTAAAAATGGACCTAAATGCCAAACAAATAAAATCAAAAATAGAGAAAATTCCTAATATTTTACAAAATCAATTAAAACTATTTTTGACTATTTAGGGGCAATTTACACGTTGGGAAAAAATTACGTGCTCACAGAGGGGATTAAGGTGGATTAGAAGAAGATTAAGGTAGTTCAGAGTTTGCCCAGGGCTTCTACGGCTATTGAGATCCGTAGTTTTGTAGGCTTGGCTAAGTATTATTGCCATTTCGTGGAGGGATTTTAATTGATCACAACTCCTTTGACTAGATTGACTTAGAAGGGAGTCTCGTTTAGGTGGTCTGACGAGTGTGAGGAGAGCTTTCAGAAGCTCAAGTCTGCCTTGAGTGCAGTTCCAGTTCTGGTTTTGCCTTCAGCATTGGGTTCTTATACAGTCTAATGTGATACTTCACGGATTGGCATTAGGTGCGTGTTGATACCAAAGGGTAGAGTAATTGTTTATACTTCATGTCAGTTGAAGCCCCATGATAAGAACTACCTAGTAAATGTTTTGGAGCTAGCAGCCATTGTTCACGCACTGAAGATTTGGAGGCACTATCTCTGCGGCATGTCTTGTGAGGTGTTCACGGATCATAGGAGTCTACAATACTAATTCAAGAAAAGGGATCTGATTTTGAGGTAACGAAGGTGGTTAGATCTACTAAAGGACTATAATATTACCATTTTTTATCATCTCCAGATGGCCAATGTGGTGGCCGTTTGTTTGAGTA